AATCTGATACAGGAACAGATACTCTCTCCTGTCCTAAATACGTATAATGCAGATCTCTTGCATTTACTGAGCGCTCAGTACAACACTTGCAAGACGTTAGCCTCAATCCGTTCTCTGGGTTTATATTTTCTCATTTTGTGTGGTATCGCAGCTTTCCCTTTGTTTCAGACAGCAGCTGAGTCAGGCACATGCTGGGTGGGCCTGGGTTGGGGGGAATCCAATGAACAAGTATAATTAGGATTTAAGAGTACAGTACTTACTCCTCAAGATGATCGCTGTTCTTTTGTAATATTACCATGGATGTTCTCCCAAGAGGTGTGTTATAGTTGCGTTAGATTTCATTTATTGAGGTGAAAACAGTAACTTGTGTTGACCTGGTGTGTGCTTTCATCATTTGTGTTAATAACCTCTAGCCACTTCCTCCCCCCCCTCCCATTTTGCTGCTTGTGTAAATTAACCTCTGCTATCACTTCAGGGTAAGGTTGAGATTAGCTTCTTTTATGTCTTTTCAAAAGCTGTGCTCAACTCTCTGTAGTTCCTGCATTAATGTAATCTCAGGTGGGACGTGTCCAAAGGATTGTTCAGTCACACTATATTTTTCTGCTGTTCTCTTGACCCTGAATACATCGTACTACCTTCTAAGTCACTCTGTTTCTCCTGGGTTTGGTCTGAATCTGCTAGCTTTATGTGATTTTTATTTTTTTTTCTTCCCTCCTTAAGGTGAAATGAACAGTTACTTCAAATATTTTTGCTTATTTTTTAAGTGGGCCTCCAGTTCCTCCCCCTCTCCCAGCTTCATTTGGGTTCCCTGCACGGTTGGCTTTTGTACCATCAGCAAAAATTGTAAATGGCAAACAGCTGGGCCACATGTGTCTATAACACCATCCCAGTTCTGACTTGCTGCTTAAGTGAAAACAAATTTAGATGTGTTTTTCCCCACAGTGCTCTGATTGGGTAGAGCTCCTCTAACTGGAGAAAACTGCTTTTGGTGCCATGGGTATAATAAGCCTTAAGGATTGGATCTTCAGGTTCCTTAAGGGACAAGGCTGTTGTGCAAATATATGGGGGGTCATTTCTCTCTCTTTCCCCTCCTTCCTGGATAATAATTAAAAAGTAAGTCTAATCCTTAGAAGCAAACATGATTTGTGCTTTGTTATTAGTGAACTGGACCGAGAGACTGCATTCAGAGATTGCTTTCTGCAGTCCTGGGTAATTAGCTTTTGTGGTCAGAATCAGGATTAACAACCCTCTGTCTTTACAAATTAGAACTCTTAACCTCTCTGTTAATTTGGTCCTTGTTGTACCAACTTGGAAATTCTCCACACTTCCCCTTCTGGAAGTGTTTAATCTGTTAAAATTATTACCTCACCTATATTTGGAAGCCACCTTGGAAGGAGACCAAAGCTGCAGGTCGGACAGAGAAGTGCCGGGCAGCGGGCTGGGCCCAGGGCTGCTCCAGGCAGAGCCACAACCTTCTGTTTGGCCTCAAACAGCCTGGGCTGGGGCAGGGGCCGCAGCGGCAGAGCCACCCTCTGCTTGGGCTGGTGTACGTGGAATTCCACGTGACCACAGGGCCGCATCGCTGCTTTTCCTCCGAGGATACGATTATCTGGGAAACAAAGGTCGTTGTGGTTTCTTGCCTGCTGTACCTCTAAGGCTGGGAGCGCTGCACGGATGCCGGGCACGGGGCTTCTGTGGTTGTGTCGCCCCACGCCCTGTCTGCTCCCCGAGCCGGCGGGAGGGAGGGTCACGGGCAAAACTTCGGCATGGAAGAAAGCAGGAAAAACGCGGGTTGGCTGGTGGGTTTTATGTGCGGGCCGGGCTGATCTCCGGAGGAAGCACGAGCGTGTGCTCGCCGCGCGTGTTTCGCAAATACCCCGCGACCTGTAAACAGACGACAAAACCTGTGGGTGTGAATAGCTGACAAACTCCGAGGATTTAGGGCACAACCCGCTAACCTTTATGCAGGCGCTAATGCTGATCCATGCCAGTCCCACCACATCGGT